CGCAGGGAAAATGTGTCTTGGGGGGGGGGGGGGGGCAGTGTCATTACATCTGCCTGTCCAAGGTCCAACCACCTCCCCATGTTCCTCTGCCGGGAACTTCCACAGCTCCCCATACTTCTTCCACAATTTCAGTCCTTCTGGGACATTTTAGTAGTCCCTCCATTGACCTCCTACCGGCAACCTCCCCTCCCCGGGGCCCAATCTGTCCATCCCAGAAACACAAGCTACGTCTGAACACATCCAAGAAAACCTGCAAAAAGGTTCCATCGCCGGCCCCCGGCCACACAGGAAGAGGCGGGGACACCCAGGAACAGTCCAAGCAGGCACACAGGAAGAGGCGGGGACACCCAGGAACAGTCCAAGCAGGCACACAGGAAGAGGCGGTAACGCAGGAAGGCTTTGTACAGCAAGTCCGTAGCATGTCTGAGCCACTACGTACACAGTTCCTGACTGATGGGTGCGCCCTCTAATGGGTTCCCCCGAAAATAAACAGGCGGCCGCTGTGCCATTTTAGTGTTCTGTGAGCGCTCAGTCTTTTCTAGTGCAGACCTTACTAATGATCACCGCTAGATCACCCGGGAACGACGAGACGATGTGCCTCCTCCCTGCACGGATGAACGCAGGTGAGGGGGCTTGGGAGGGAGGGGGGAGTGTATTATGTGTGCTGGGGGGCTTGGATTCCCTAATCTGGCGTTTACAAGCGGCAACCCTCACCCATTCAAAGTTAATGATCGGCTGACAGCCGCCGCATGTACACGCCTGCACGCTGCATGTGATTGTATGTGAAAGGATTACACGCAGGTACAAGAACAATCACTATCCCCGCATACACAACAGTGACAGATTCCCAACTGCGTGTAATCCTTTCACATGCGGCGTGCAGGCGTGTACATGCGGCGGCTGTTGCCGCTTGTCACATGTGCAGACATTAACACTGATACCGTATATATTGGCGGCCCCCCCCCACGGGACTAGAAAATATGCCCAGTGGCCCCCGACTATATTGAGTTTGAGCAACCCCCCCCCGGTATATAGGTTCAGTCCACACAGGTAACGGACCCGCGTAGGGATCTTCATTCTCCGAGAAGCGACAGTTGGTTTCGTTGAGTCCAATGGTATCGGGAAGTGACAGTCACATGACTGAAATAACGATCCTTGTACTGGTCGGAAAGCTTTGGACGTGGAGCCTCGTATCTCGTATTTTAGTTTGTTTTTGATGATTTACTTTTATATAAAGTATTAAAATATCGCGACATTGCTTTTGTTGTATTTCTTTATTGCCTCGTTTTTTTTTTGTCTGAGGTGCAATTATGGAGGGAAGGTCGTCCGAGGGGAACGAACCCCAAAAACCCAGACACAACGATGAAACGTAACATAGCCTGCAGTATTTATATTCAACACAAGGTGGCGATCTCACGTGGAAGCCACCTACAGGAAGTGACGTAAGGTACAGACAGGAAGTGACGAGAAAAGACAGGAAGTGATGTAATGGAATGACAGGAAGTGATGTAGGAATGTAACTAGGAAGTTGGAGGGACGTAGAGAGAGAGAAGTCGGTGCTGGAACTGGTAGAAGAGGTAATATTTGGTTTGATATTTCTGCCTAGTACACCTGTGTCATGTCCGTCCTCCTCCGTCATGTCCGTCCTCCTCTGTCATGTCTGTCCTCCTCCGCCATCTCGGCGATGTTTCTTATGATTTATATTACCAGATACATTTTAATTTTAGAAGCACCATTGTGAGCTAAATGACTCGATCTCTTCCCTGGATCTAGAGGGGAACAGACCAGACTGCAGTAGATCGGAGTTTGATCCTCCCCCTTAGATCAGTCTCCGAGCCCTCCCTTCCGTCAAGACTAACACACATTGCATAAGACAGAGTGCAGAGGTCAGGAGTGGCACGCGGTGCAGAGGTCATTAGTAGCACGCGGTGCAGAGGTCAGGAGTGACGTGCGGCGCAGAGGTCAGGAGTGGCACGCGGCGCAGAGGTCAGGAGTGACACGCGGCGCAGAAGTCAGGAGTAACACGCGGCGCAGAGGTCAGGAGTGACGTGCGGCGCAGAGGTCAGGAGTGGCACGCGGCGCAGAGGTCAGGAGTGACACGCGGCGCAGGGGTCAGGAGTAGCACGCGGCGCAGAGGTCAGGAGTGACACGCGGCGCAGAGGTCAGGAGTGGCACGCGGCGCAGAGGTCAGGGGTGTCACGCGGCGCAGAGGTCAGGAGTGTCACGCGGCGCAGAGGTCAGGAGTGTCACGCGGCGCAGAGGTCAGGAGTATATAAGGCAGAGTGCAGAGGTCATTAGTAACACACGGTGCAGAGGTCAGGAGTAACACGCGGTGCAGAGGTCAGGAGTACATAAGGCAGAGGTCAGGAGTGGCACGCGGCGCAGAGGTCAGGAGTGGCACGCGGCGCAGAGGTCAGGGGTAACAGCCTGTTATTATTTAATATCCAATCTTCTGCACATGCGTTGTTACACGTACAATACAGACGGAGAGCTCACACTTCCTCTGACCCGAGCTGAGAGAAGAACTTCATAATGTAGTCCCGGACTACTTTGCAGTCAGCCGATGTAGAGACAATGAAAACCTAAACATACAGAGTGCCATGTGTCAGAGCATGTCATGTACAGCACAACATAGAATGGTGGTGGGAGGGGGAGGGGTCAGGAGTATATAACATACAACCTCGTATATAGTGGGACGGACAGGAAATAGAGCTCCTCCCATTGTGGTCAGCGGGTGGAGAAATGAGCCCCATTGGTGTCTATGAGAGGAATATCAGACCTCAGCGTTGGTGTTCTGTGGTTACTTACCTGACCACACACTCCACTCCCACAATCCTGCTCTGCCTATTGGCTGTCACTGTTGGGCTGGAGATCCCTCCCCCCTGACAGAGCCCACATAGGAGCACAATTCAGAGAGCGCTCCGGCCCAGGATCCTGCGGGGACAGTATCCAAATTGTGTCCCACTAGACCTGAGACACTGAGCGACTTGGCGTTTGTCTACAGAGCCTTGAGTAGGTCATGTGACCATTTTAATGATAAAAGACCGGTGGGAAGGATTCTGGGAAGTGTGTAGTGATCATTGTTACCTTCTCCCTTCATCAGGATTACCGGATAGTGACCAATATATCTCTGGTGAGCCATTAACACTCAGCAGAGGTCACCCATCACAGAGCCTCCACCTCACCGCCTGACCACAGAGCCAAGAAGATCCTAGAAGTCACCAGGAAGATCACCGAGCTGCTGACAGGAGAGGTGAGCGGTGCCGGGAATTCTGGGACATGATCCAGGAACAGACGAGGGGTGTGTCTGGGTGGTGACTGTATCATTGTGTGTGTCAGGTTCCTATAAGGTGTCAGGATGTCTCTGTCTATCTCTCCATGGAGGAGTGGGAGTATCTAGAAGGACACCGGGATCTCTACAAGGACGTGGTGATGGAGAATGCCCCGCCCCTCACATCACCGGGTAAGAGGAGAGAGCAGTACGGAGGCTCCGCCTACATCACCCATCATCTGATACACACATAGAAACAATGTATTCAGTCAGTGTGTGTGTTTCCTACAGATGGATCCAGTAAGAGGAACCCACCAGAGAGATGTCCCCGTCCTCTGTATTCCCGGGATTCCACACAGGAAGATCTCACCATCCCTCATGAGGTGAAATAATAGATAATAGGAGATACTTCTGATCTCTTCATTATCTATGTAGTTACATCTGATGCCATTGTTCTCAATATTCAGAATGAGTGTGATAATGATGTTAAAGACGAGATAAAAGAGGAGGAGGAGGAGGTTGGTGTGATGGAGACATTTCTAGGACACAAAGACCCCTTGAAGGACGTCATGATGGAACCATTCCGTGACACAAACCCATCAGAGAGATGTCCCCATCCTCTGTATTCCCGGGATTCCACACAGGCAGATCTCACCATCCCCCACCATGATCAGGTAGGTGGGACTCGGTGTATAGAACACAGAAGGCTCCTAGTTGACATTCTTTTCATCTTTTTGCTCCCCCGCTTTGTTTTCCCCTCCCCCACCCCCGGTTTTATTCTGTAAAGATCTCTGTTTTCTTCAGGTCTTGGGTCCAGCCATGAGACATCGCGGGTCCTCTTCTATGTTATGTTTCTCCAATGGTGGGCATGTGCTGAAAGACCCGGTCCCGTTCTTTGCTCCTGTGGGTCCAGGCTGGCATGATGATGATGATACGCCCCCCAGGTGGCCAGATATTTGGGATCACAGGATATAGGCAGGACCGTGAAATGGGCAGGAGACCTGATTTTTGTTTCTCAGTCTTCTCCCTCCCCCAGCCTGCGACTGAACAGTGAAAGGATAAAAGGTAGACTGATGACCTCACCTCTCTGTCACTCTGCTCCAGGGGGGTAGCCACATTCCGGCCCTCCAGCTGTTGTAAAACTACAAATCCCATGATGCATCTCTCTTCGTGGAGTCGTGGCCGTGAGAATTGTGCAATGCCTCATGGGATTTGTAGTTCCACCCGCAGCTGCAGGGCCGGAGTTTGGCTACCCCCTGCTCTACTCTATCCCACTACAGCACAGCTCATAAGCTCCTGGTGCTGCTTCTCCCCCCCCCCCCCCCCCCAAGCTGTGCTCTGCTGCTCAGAGACTGCAAGATAGTGATAAGAGATCCCAGTCAGATCCTTGTATTAAAAACTACACGGGTGTATTAATGAACACAGAGCTGCCGTGTCTTCTATATCTCCCCGGAGTTCAGCTTTATGAGATGTTTTCTATTATTTTGGGGTTTAGGGTGAAGAACGGAACAATATAAAAGCTGAGGTTAAAGGGGAAGAAGTGGAGACGTATGTGGGGGGTGACCGGCCGTCCACGGAGGAGGTCGGGATGATGATGAAAAGTGATCAGGATGACATTTCTCTACCAATTAACACAAGTAAGTAACAGACACTATGGAGGGAACAGGTCACAGCTCTATGTCACTTCTGAGTATCTCCATTCCCCAATATAACGTCATGTGACCAACAAATGAGGAGGAGATACTGTACACCATATGAAGGTCCATCTCCATTCCTCAATATAACGTCATGTGACCAACAAATGAGGAGGAGATACTGTACACCATATGATGGTCCATCTCCATTCCTCAATATAATGTCATGTCCCCAACAAATGAGGAGGAGATACTGTACACCATATGAAGGTCCATCTCCATTCCTCAATATAACGTCATGTGACCAACAAATGAGGAGGAGATACTGTACACCATATGAAGGTCCATCTCCATTCCCCAATATAACGTCATGTGACCAACAAATGAGGAGGAGATACTGTACACCATATGAAGGTCCATCTCCATTCCTCAATATAACGCCATGTGACCAACAAATGAGGAGGAGATACTGTACACCATATGAAGGTCCATCTCCATTCCCCCATAGCGGTCATGAATGAACAGTACAATGGTCTCCGGGGGGTCAGAGGTGTTTTGGGGGTTTTGTCTCTTTTATCTGGTTGGTTTTCATATTTTGGGGTTACAATTGGACCCAATTCCATGCCAGAGCTCTGTGATGACTTCTAGACCAACATACATGACTCTGATTACTGACGTGTGTAATGATTTCTCTCCAGCAGATGGATGTGATGTCAGGAATACCTCGGAGAGACATCTTATATTATCTGCTGATTGTAAGTCAGAAGATAATGTCATCACACAGGATTCTCCAGGAGTGAATCCAAACACACAAAATATACATCACAGACCTCACTGCTCGGAGACATCAATGGATCCCTCTGATCAGGGTGAATCTTCTGATCATTCACATACTATGACTGGAAATATCCATCTAAGATCTCACAGTGCAAGAGATCCATCTAATCCTGAGGAACCTTCCTCACCCCATGAAGGAGAACACAGAGGTGAGGATCTATTCTCACATCCCATGGATGAGAAATCTTTCACTGAAAACAAAATCCTTCCTAATTACCAGAGCAGTCACTCGGGTGAGGGTCCCTTTTCCTGTCCACAGTGTGGGAAACGGTTTACAGAGAATACCGCACTTCTGAAACATCAGCAATCTCACACAGATAACCATCCTTTTAATTGTTCAGAGTGTGGAAAAAGTTTCACTCAGAAAGGAAACCTGACTAAACACCAAAAAATTCACACTGGCGAGTGTCGCTATTCATGTTCGGAGTGCGGAAAATGCTTCACTCAGAAAAGAGCACTTATTGAACACCAGAGCATTCACGAGCACGAGGGTGCTTTCCCTTGCTCAGAGTGCGGCAAACGTTTCATTAAAAAAGAAAAACTTTTTCTCCACCAGAGAATTCACACTGGCGCGCGTACGTTCCCTTGTTCAGAGTGCGGAAAACTTTTCAAGAGAACTGGAAAGCTTATTGAACACCAGAGAATTCACACGGGTGAGCGTCCTTTTTCCTGTTCAGAGTGCGGCCAATGTTTTACTCATAAACATGCACTTATTGGACACCAGAGAACTCACACGGGTGAGCGTCCTTATTCATGTTCAGAGTGCGGGAAATCTTTCATTAACAAACAACGTCTTACTGTACACCAGAAAATTCACACAGGTGAGGGTACTTTCACTTGTTCGGAGTGCGGAAAAAGTTTCATAAAAAAAGAAAAACTTCTTGTACACCAGAGAATTCACACAGGTGAGCGTCCCTTTTCCTGTTCAGAGTGCGGGAAATGTTTCATTCAGAAAGGAGGCCTTGCTACGCACCAGAGAACTCACACAGGTGCGCGCCCCTATTCCTGTTCAGAGTGCGGGAAAGCTTTTGCTTATAAAGGGGACTTTGCTAATCACCAGAGAATGCACACGGGTGAGCGGCCTTTTTCCTGTTCAGAGTGCGGGAAATGTTTTACTCGGAAACAAGCACTTAACGGACACCAGAGGATTCACACCGGGGAACGCCCTTATTCTTGTTCAAAGTGCGGGGGAAGTTTTTCTGAGAAAAGAAGGCTTCTCAAACATCAAAGAAAGGACAACTGCTGACTCTTTCGACAAATATACGATGTCTTTTAAGAGGTAGAACGCTGTAGTCCATAAAACATCTAAAAAAGTTAATAAAGAGGTGCAGCCTGGGAAAGCTGATATTTCATTTATAGGTGGCGTTTGATGGGCTGAGTCGTCTCTTGACTCCTCCTATTTCTGTATCCGTATTTTCAAATGGCCGTGTGCCACAGTCCGATGGCCTCATATTACTGCGGAACAAAATCATGATTTGATAGATACAAAAATTGAGGGAAGCACCGACACCATTTTTTCCAGACTGAGTACGAGTTACCGATGCCAATTACCGATACTTTTCCGATACCCATTACCGATACTTTTCTTAGTGTCATGTGACAGTTTTCTAAAGCAATGCAGACTAATGATTTTAAGACAGTGGGGGAGTACCAGGGCCCGGTCGCAGCTGTGACTGCTGCTACACTGGTAGTTCTGCCATTGACTCCAAGCTGTAGAGGGACTCGGCAATACATTATACAGCAATGCACAATACCACCAACTATAGAGGACTACAAATCCCAGCAATACATTATACAGCAATGCAGAATACCACCAACTATAGAGGACTACAAATCCCAGCAATACATTATACAGCAATGCAGAATACCACCAGCTATAGAGGACTACAACTCCCAGCAATACATTATACAACAATGCAGAATACTACCAGCTATAGATGACTACAAATCCCAGCAATACTTTATACAGCAATGCAGAATACCACCAACTATAGAGGACTACAAATCCCAGCAATACTTTATACAGCAATGCAGAATAAAGCACAGGACAGTAACCACAGGCAACATTGCTGGGAGGTGGAGATGTGCGGAGGGTCTCGGGAGGGGAAGATGTGCGGAGGGTCTCGGGAGGAGGAGATGTGCGGAGGGTATCGGGAGGGGGAGATGTGCGGAGGGTCTCGGGAGGGGAAGATGTGCGGAGGGTCTCGG